ATGATTACATTTATTACATGCCTTTGCTATAAATCATATATAACAATTAATATACCATATATACAAGACCATATGATCCTCCTAAAAAGAAGTGTTATTTTCAAGTTTAAATTCATTAGATGTAAACCATTAAGTTGTTTTGTACTTTTTTTTTTTCTTTATGAAGCACTAAGGTAGAATTTTAAACATATTCTGATGCCTAACAGAGGGGTACTATAGATGAATTAATGTTACCAGCATCATGACAGGAAATGAAAATGTTGCCTGAATGCAATGTAAAAGTGTTAAGGACTATTAAAAATACCACTTTTGCTTTTCTTTTGATTTTTTGGAATCGCTTTTTGGCTTTTTTACTTCCGACAGTGTTTTGGTATGTGTCTGTGGTGGTTTTCTTTGTTTGTTTTAAATACTACTGCAAAGGCCAAAAAGAATAAGTAAAATGCTTCTGGATCCCAATTCTGGAATGCATTTACTCACCTGTCTTTAAGGCATCAATTACAGATGTGCTTAACTTTCATCAGGTGAAAGTTAAGCATGTTCATCATGTTCATTAGTGGAATGATGATGAAGTGAAGCTATAATATGTTATGCATAGTATCTTATGTATTTTAAATAAAGTAATCTTCCATTCAAGCTGAAGGGACTGTTATAGAAAATTTGTGCTTTGGTAGAAAGCCGACCTTAAAGAGGTTGCTCCATACTGTGCAGCCACACAGCCAAGGTACTTCTCAGTACTTCTCTATTTGGAGACCTTAGGTGAAATATACATGGATATATGTAAGTACATACAAAATCTGTAGGAATAGCTCATTTATAGTAACTTTCTCCTTCATGAATTCAAAATTCTAGGTTAATATTCTAGTGGTAAACAACCTGGAGTTCTTGAAACATCTGTGACTTCAAAAAGAAAAAAAAAAAAAAGTAATTTATCTTCCTCTCCAACTTCTCTTAGATGTGGTAACATCTGCAAGTCCATACTCAGGATTGATTGAGTGGGATACAAATAGAAAAGTCAACTTCAGCAAGTAGAGGAATTTAATGAAGTGATCTATCTTTATTCCTAACATATTCATCCCTTTCCAACTTTTTTTAGCAGCTGACTATTGTTGCCTATATAAAACGTGAATCCTTCATTCTGCACCTTTCAGGCCTCCCTTATTTATTTTGCTTTTACTTTATTCCAAATTTACTCCATGAACCACCAACCAACTTAATTCACTTGTTTCTCCTCTCTTTTGAAGCACATACCTTGCTACTGAGCAGCACCAACCATATGTTACGCCTGCCAAACTTGGAAAGCAAAAAGTAGGATGTTAATCAGATACAGGCATGCCTGCTTCCAGCACATTGCAAGAGGAGAACATCCTGCTTTGCATCTTTACTTCTGACAAAAGAAGTAGTTTCTGCTGAGTTCCAAATTCAAGATCTCACAGATTACACTCTCTCATGGCCTATAGTACCCTCCTTTGCTGAGTACAATTCAGCCAAGTCTACTATCAAAAAGTCTGTAAGAAAACTGAGGAAGAAGTAGACAGTAGGTTACTGCTAAAACATAAGACTTCAAGATTTTAGCAGACACCATTTTAGGAATTCCTCCAAGCTGCACTCAGAGGAGTATCAAAATCTCATTAATTGCTCTTATGTTTCCTTGGCCTCTCCCATCCAGACTGTACCTTGGACTGCTTCTTGCAAGATACCCAATGGCAAGTTTCTATAATCACTGAAACTTAAAACACTGCATAAAGCAACATACCTATGGTTATATATACGTAACACTGAATACATACATCTATCAACAAAAGTAATGTATAGTAATAACTTTTTTTTTTTAAGCACAAAAAGCCCATGTATCTCTGTAGTTCTTCATGCTGGAAGTAATTCACACGGGAATTTTGCACTCAAAAATCTTTGCATTTTGGCTCACATGAGGAACAGTAGATAGTGGATGAAAAAAGTCTTAGGCTTGAACCACACAGAGCAATTAATAGGCCTATTTATTTGCTTACTTTAAGCATCTGCTTGATCTTCTGAACTCTCTATGCCATACAAGAGTTTGAGTAAAAATTCTGGTGGGTTCCAGATTCAAAGCCTAGAAGTAGTAAACAATCTCAGTAACTGAAAGCAAAGAGTCATGCTTAATTTTTAAACACAGCATCTCATGCAATCCAGATAAAATAGAACTGTACAAAAGCACATTTCTTTTCACTTGCCTGTAATGTCTCGGAGATCAGATTTTTGTCACAGGTTTTGTCAAGACTAGAAAATTATTTCAAAAGATTGAGCAGGAGGGGCACAGTGTTTGGACACACACAAGGAAAGTTCAGAATTTTAGTCACAATCAATGGAAATGCTATTTTGGTCTTGGTTAACAGAACAGAACTCCTATTAAATATGGCCCTGCTAGTAGTTAGTAAGAAATTTTAGAGACATTAGAGCACAGTATTCCATAAAGGAGATGAGACAAAGGTAAAGAAACACAGGATCATTTCTTCTTGAGCGAAACCAATACCTGACCCTCCAGATGTGGAAAAAAATTCCCCCTTATGTTCCCTAATACCAGAAATAGAAAAATGTGAGGTAATTTTTCAACTATCAGGCTTTCTTAACAAAAGAGAAAAATGATGCAAGATAAACCTTAAAGAAAAGAGGAAGTTAGGAAATAAAGCAGAGCAGAGGAAACATGAACAAAAGCCCTGAGACAGTCAGTGTATAACCAACTGCATTTTCAATAGTTTTGCTTTTTCCTTTTAATTATACTCAAATCTCAGTTACTTAAGATCCACAACCCAGATCCATGAATATTGTAAAGCAACTGTGCTAGAGATGCTGAGACACACAAAATACCTTCCCATGAGCTACTGTCTGGAATCACAGAAGTTCACACTAGATGCCACAAAGGCTGAGATCAACATTACACCCTGCATCTCTAAATTGTACTGTCAGCTACAGCACTCTGCCCTGCCCAGCATGTTAAGGTGTGACAAAAGCCGAGTGTATGTTTTCACTTCCTCTTTTTAAGCATGCTTTCTGATTAATCACTTCCAAAGTTTTCCATCCTTAGCCAGGGTAGCAGTTGCGGTACATCACTCTACTGCACTCTGTGGATTAGACAACCTCCTTAAAGTGCATGTGGTCACACTGAACCCCTGGGTTCCGTGTTCAGCCTGTGTTTTGTGAGTAAAATGTACAAGAGAATGCTCTAATGGTAAGGCAAATAACAGAGCCAGAATAAGTGTTGCCCTTCTTACTGCAAGTGCATGATGCCAGACCACTGCTGATCTCATACAAAGTGATTGTGTACACCAGAATGCTGATCTTATATTGAAGTTTCAAAAGTATTTACACTTTGCACTGAGGAAAATTGCTTTTCTGATTTATGGTTGGATGTAACAATAGTTGTACCATAAGTGTATAAAGCAGTCTCATATTTTTTCTAAACATCTAAATGTGTAATAGAAAAGAATATATAAGTTGCTATTCATAGTCAACACACCACTCAGTTGGACATGGCCTACAAGTGATACACATTTGGCACAAAATGTTTGTTTTACACATTTATGTGAATTGTTTCCACTATGATTCAGGCAGGAATAGAAAAGCCTGCTCTAGAACAAGATCCTCTAACTCAGCTGTGCTTGCTTGAGATGATGTGAGAGGTACTAATACCACGTGTTCTGTTTATGCTTCTTATAACACAGGACATTTTGAGATCTTTATAGATAGATAATGGATACTAATGGTAGAAGATATTTGTAAGCACTATTACAGAACAAAGTCAGACAATAGGAAACAGAAAACTGCACATGAACTTGCTAAAAGATATGTTAGAGGGAAAAAACCCAAACAAATAACTTTTGGCATTTACATAAATTGCAATCCTGATACAAAGCAGCGATATACCCCCATTTCTCCTCTGGTGATGAGGCTACCACACAGAGTCCTGGCATCCCAGCATCAGACAAACAGATTATGGAAAATTAAAAGACAAAAAGCACAAATCTTAAAGGATAAACAGCGAAAGGTAAAACAAAAAATAATAATCCCAACTATTTTGGAAACTAATTATCAAAATATTTTAACAATAAAAAGAGATTTTTTTTAAATAACCAAGACTGATAAAGAGAAGTATTCATATGAAAATGAGCAGGAAAGAATTAAAAGATACTACCATGAAGAAATTTAACATTCTGGAAGCCGAGATTTTAGAAAAAAAGTAGCCCAGACAACACACTTCTAAATACGTTGATCTCCCCAGTCATGCCCAAGAACCACCTAATAAATATGACCTTTTATTTACTTTTGTTTTCAGTTGAAGTTTAATCTGCAAGGCTCAAACTAGAAATGGCGGCTAGAAATAGATGCTTAAAACTTACGGTATGCCCTGCATCTGTTCAGGAAGCAGTGGGAAGCTGTCATGTTCACTCTCATAATGCAAAGAACTTGCAAATACACAATGGACAAGTTTAACTTTCTTTCAAGTAACAGAAAGGAAAGAGAAACAAACCTCTAATACCCTCTGCATGACTGCATTTCTCCTCATCTGTTCTTAGGCAACAGAAAAAGAGTAGTTAAACAGGCACCATACAATATGATGGATTCTTAACCCTTAACAAACAATAAATTACTTGTGTTTATGCCAAATCAGTTGACTGAAGACTGAAAAACAAAGACTGAAGTGTTACATCAAATTTATATTCCATAAAAAGATTGAAATGCTAAGGATTATACCTTTGTGCAACAAAGGCTTTAGATGGGGGCAGGTGGAGAGAAACACATTAAAACACACAGGCTGTTACTCCATATGTGTTTGCAGGACTATAATAAATGTTTTTAATCTATGAAACATCTGGGGCTAAAAATCCAATTTGTACTTTTTTTTTTTTAATGAAATGGTTTTAAAGTGTGTAGCATAGCTTTTACAATATAAATCTGCACAAAACTAACAATACAGGTCTATCCTTTAGGCTTTTTCTAGGAGTATAAAATATGCAGAATCCTACCAGGCCATATTGCCATGGGCTGTGTTGTCAAGGTGACAGAGTAGCTCCAGGGTTTGAGTGTTGCTTGATGAATCATCAGGGGATTCATGACTGCCTGATTCCAATTCCTTCGGCATCCTCCAAACAGCAGCACATGTCATGACTTTACTGTCTGAAGCTAAGCAACAGAGAATAATGTCAACAGATCATTGTATGGGAGACGTATTTTGTATACAGTGCATCAACATTTACACAAATCTATAAGCAGTGCACATCTGCTGTTTAAAACATTTAAAAATATTATACTGAGATGAAGTCAAAGAATGTAGAATGTGGACACAGACCTCAGGTTAGCAGTCAAGTCACTGCTAAACTCATAATTAGCACGCATTTAGTATGCTTTCCCTGTTTAAAGGTTAGCAGTCAAGTCATTGCAAAACTCATAATTAGCACGCATTTAGTGTGCCTTCCCTGTTTAAAGGCAAAATTCAGTGCTCATGAAAACATAATTTTTTGGGAGGCAAGTTTTCCAAGCTTCATTCCCCATACTGACATTAATGAAAACGACTAACAAGTTACATTGCTTGATTTGTTAACAATAAGGATTTAGCCATCATTTTCATGTTTTCCTTTTCAGGGCTATCTTCAGTTGAATCTACAGCATTATGTCATATCCTTTATTACCAATAATTGTTTAGTGCAAAATTAAGTTTTCCATGTAAGTACACATCTCTAATTCTAGCACATAAAAGCAGCTTCCAAAAGAAAAACTGAACTTACACACATATAGCAAAATTTTACAATGTACGATGAACAAGCCAACTGTAGATTGAGAAGAAAATACCATATGGTCTATGCACATATGGCATTGCCCATCACCCAGTATATAGCAATTTGTAGCAGTGCAAAATGGGAGGAGACCAGAGCAGCACTGCATATGTTCATGTTGTTCCAGCCGCTGGTCCAGGGTTTGCAGAAGACGAATAGGTCAGTACTATCCACTACAGCAGGAACAAAGAAACCAGCCACAGCTACGTTAAGCAAAAGCAGGGGGTGCAAGTACCTGCTGGAGGATGTGTTAAACATGAAGTCCAGAGGACAAGCAGCAATGAACGGCATGTTTTCTGTTCTTAGGTCATTTTGCATGCCTTTCTCTCACGGCTCTGTCTCCAAGTACATTTTAGGTGATTTTAGTGCCAAGTGTCTGATTACAGAGCCATGAGCAGACGTGACCAACTTACATCAGTTGAAAGGAAAAGAGGAACAATTTTAATGAGAGTGTTTCTAAGAGGAAGGACCGTCACTCTGAAAAAGGCCTTCTTTGGCTAAAATGATATTAACAGGGCTAAAAACGTCTTTATCAAAAAGATTGTCAATCTGGATATTCTATATGCAAAAAAGCACCCAAACTATAGAGAATAGGACAAAAAGCAATTGACTGGTAGTAAATAACCCCAAAATGCAAGAATGCACACCTGTTTAAAAAGGAGCCAAATGAAATAAAAATCATAGGTAATTAGGTCAAAACAGTAAAAGAAAAAGGCCATTTCTGTGAGAAAGAAACAGGTAGGAGGTGAACTTTAAATTCAAGCACAGAACTCAGAACACAAAAGCACTGGGTATTTCACAGACTGTACTAAATGTAAAATACACGTATGATGCACATAACTGTTCTACAGTAATTTGCCATATACAACTTGACTACAGTATCAGGAGAGCATGCATCTAAAGATGATGGATAGTTCCTTACTTCTTAACATTTAACCGAACTTTTACTAATTGTAGTGCATGCTAACTAAACAGCTATTTCCAAATCATTCGAGGCAAATATTTTACATTAAATCTATGTGCCAGTGAACAAAGAGAAGGAATCATAGAATGGTTTGGGTTGGAAAGGACCTTAAGATCATCTAGTTCCAACTCCCCTGCCATGAGCAGGGACACCACACACTAAACTATGTCACCCAAGGCTCTGTCCAGCCTGGCCTTGAACACCTCCAGGGTTGGAGCATTCACAACTTCCTTGGGCAACCCATTCCAGTGCCTCACCACCCTCACTGTGAAGAACTTCTTCCTTAGATCTAACCTAAAGTTCCCCTGTTTAAGTTTAAAGCCATTACCCCTTGTCCTACCACTACAGTCCCTAATGAAGAGTCCCTCCCCAGCATCCTTGTAGGCCTCCTTCAGATATTGGAATGGCTGCCTTTCTTTAGCGAAGGGAAAAGCAATGTGCAGCATGCATTATATACTACACAAATAATAAATAAACTAAAATGAAAGTGCAATATAGTTAAAGAAGGTAAGACCTGTCCAGTGTTCTGCCTCAATACTCAGTATGTGACAGAACATTAAAGAACACCACAGGGAGGTTTCTGGTAGGTTACGATTACCAAAAGGTCTGTATCATACATATAAAGCATTAGCTTTTCTACTAATAACAAGATCTATGTGGAGAATCACAAAAGCAAATAGTGGAAAACAAACCACATGTTTCTCAAGCCATCCTTCCTCTCAGCACAGCACCACGAGTCTTAAGACAGCCTTGAAATGTCATGAAGTTCAACATTCCGAAAGCTGAGATCTTAGAAGAAGTAGCCCACACAATACACTTTCGAATACACCGATACATGTAATCTTGTCCAAGAAGTGCCTAAAAAATGTGACCTCCTGTTTACTGCATTTTTTTTTTAGTTGAAATTTAATCTACAAGGTGCAAACTAGCTAGAAATCAGTAGCTAAAACCAGATGCTTAAAACTTACAGTACAATGCATTGACAATTTAAAAATCAACTGAATTAACTATTACTTGTAAAGCCTACTTTTTCATTTACTAGCTGGCTGATGAATAGAAATTTTTATGCAGACATTTTAAAAAAGCAATTAGACTGATTTTAAATTATATCAAAGGGGAACAATACTTAAAGTTAATCTTACTAGAATATATTTAAGTATAATGAGATTATGATGGATACCTTACACAGCAGGTATCTGAACACAGAAACCATGAGGCCCTTTCCACTCTTATGTGACACACTTACCGCAATATCTGACACTGATGTTACATTATCTTTGTTTGGATTCAGTTCACAGTTGTCACTTTTCAGTTACAAAAATCTGCTGTGTTACTCCATGGGGTTTTTTTTGTTTGGCTGGGTTTTTTTTTCCTTAAAATTCTCTGATAATTGTGAAAGGAGTAGTACAACTTGCATGATCACCTCCCACTCCATATCCTCTCTGACAGACTGACATTCTTGGACTACAGTACATTCATGCAGTTTCAACTTTTGCTCCTAGTGGAAGATGTTCACATGCTCCCAAAATTATATCAAATACTCTAGTTGCTAAAATATGGACTGAGTGTATGAGCATTTCTTTGCCCTGCATCTATTCAGGAAGCAGTGGGAAGCTATCATATACATACCCACAATGCAAAGAACTTGCAAATACATAATCGACAAGTTTAACTTTCCTTCAAGTAACAGAAAGGAAAGGGAAACAAACCTCTAATACCCTCTGCATGACTGCATTTCTCCTCATCTGTTCTCAGGCGACAGAAAAGGAGTAGTTAAACAGGCACCATATAATATGATGGATTCTTAACCCTTAACAAACAATAAATTACTTGTGTTTATGCCAAATCAGTTGACTAAAGACTGAAAAACAAAGACTGAAGTGTAACATCATATTTATATTCCATAAAAAGATAGAAATGCTAAGGATTATTCCTTTGTGCAACAAAGGCTTTAGATGGGGGCAGGTGGAAAGAAACACATGCTGAAGCCGTCTTTTCTCTCAGCACAGAACCATAAGTCTTAACACTGCCTGGAAATGCCATTTTAACTTTGTAAAACTGCAACATTTTGAAATTCTGATGGTGTGTTCCTATGAAGTAACTTTTTATAAAAGTTCAGTTTCTCGCACAATCAGATTTCCAGACTGAAGAGCCTAAAACAACTAAACAAGCACTGGCTTGAAGATTGAGCAAGGCCAAAGGAAAAAACCAAATGCATATGTCAGAATCATAGAACAGTTTGGGTTGGAAGGGACCCTAAAGATCATCTAGTTCAAATCCCCCTGCAATAGGCAGAGACAACTTCCACTGGACTGTTTCCCTCCTCCCTTCAGGGCTTTATCCCACGGTACTCTACCAAGCAGATCCCTGAAGAGGCCGAAGTATGCTCTCCTGAAGTCCAGGGCAGTGAGTTTGCTGTGCACCCTCCTCACCGCCCTAAGGATCTTGAACTTCACCGTTTCATGGTCACTGCAGCCAAGGCTATCCCTGAGCTTCACATTCACCACCAGTCCCTCCTTGCTGGTGAGAACAAGCACATCTCCTCATTGGATCTTCAAATACTTGAAGAAGTTATCCATGCATTCCTGGAACCTCCTGTATTGCTTACACCCTACTGCGTCGTTTCTTCAACAGATATCAGGGTGGTTGATCCTGACCCATAAGCTCTTGGTCAGCCCCTCATCCACCCCCAGACAGAGCTCCGTGCACTTCAGCTTGTCATTGACACAGAGGGTGATACCGCATTCTCGTCTCCCCTGTATTCCTTCCTGAAGAGCCTGTATCCTTCCATTCCAACACTCCAGTCACAGAAGACATCTCATATCTCCATGATGCCAGTAAGATTATAGCCCTGTTATATCATATATTCATATTGAAATCCCCCTGAAACTTGATGTCACTGAGGCTCCTATAAAACTTACACATTTTGAAAATCGTCAAAAGTCAGCAATGAAATGAATCTGCTTGAATTTTTAATGTGAACGGCAGTTCTACATAGGTTCTGTATTTGTTTTCACATTATTACTACAGATGCTGCCAAGGAGCAAGACTGAAATGTACCTTGATAGTCCAGGCAGATGAGATTTGCTGCAGTAGTGAAAACAAGTTACCAGATTTCCAGATTTTGCAGACCTATCTGTGCCATTTCTTGGAGCTCAACATCTTGTGTCCTCTCTGGAAAGCTGTTCAGCTGCTCTGATATGTGTATCTGATGCCATTTGTTCTTCGAGAATGCAAGAGAAGCGTATCTTTTTGAGATGTAGTTTGACCACAGTAGATTTCTCTATTAATGGCTGTTATTGTGTAGTATGGTAGACAATCATTCTTTTATATTACATTTTTATCATTAAAAAGATTGCTCTAAGTCTTGTATATTAGCACATATCTTTAAAATACAATTCTAAAATTAAGGATACCTATCAAACTTACTAGGGATCCCAACAGCACAGTAGTCATTTTTTTCTCAAATTGTGGAATTAGTTATTTTCTTCTGCCCGCGTTTACAGATATAGCAATTAAAAAATACCTATTTTTAATTACAAAATGCTTAGTGAGGTCTGAAGTACAGGTTGACACAGAATTTCACATGCAGAATGTTGTGCCAGTCCATGCCTGTTTCACTTCACCAAGACTAGTGGTGAAGGGTAAGATTCGCTGTGCATCAAAAAGGGACAATACTAAAAGCCAAGACATATAACTCCTTAACACTCAGCACAGACATTATCCTCTGCTTTCAGCTGGTTTTGAAGATGCTCACAGAAAATGACAGACTGCTTTCCAGCAGCTGAATGACCATCCATCATGAACAACACCACAAATCTTCAGATTCTAATTTTAATTTTTGGATGAATTCCGGAATTAGATACATGGCTGAAATCTGTAGAGCAGAGACTTGATTCAGAGCACTATTAATTTCTCCTTTCACTTTTTATGTACTTATCTAAAGTTCTGACACTTTATTAATTCCCAGATGTGTGAAACCAAAGTGGAACTGCCATGGCCTCCCATAGTAGTAATTTTAGATACAGCTAGCCTTAAGGAAGGCTTAATTTCCCTTTATATAAGGATTTTTTTAAAAAAATACCATTTTCTCCCTGGTAAAAGAGAAGGCAAATGATGCTGCTGCTGAGTGAATGTCTCACTCTTGCGACATGCGAAGTGGAGCTTTTCTGTGTGTCACAATTCCTTTTAATCAAATAACCACTAACAACAAACCTACACATATCCATAGACACAATATAACTCTCATTGCATAGAAATCCAAGTCCCACAACAAGCTGCTTATGCCTATATGACAAGTGCATGGTATTTCTACAGTTACCTGTAT